ATGAAACTAACACAAGGGTAAACAAACTACTAAAGTGATAGGGCAATATAAACAACACGCAATTGACAAAGGCGATATAAATGATAAGCACGAATATAAAGGAACGCCAATGACAAACGCAAACAAACGATATGATCACGAAGTTCGGTCCCCACGACCTACGTCTCCGCTCCTTACCTCGAGGAGATCTCCACTATCACAACCGGGTTTTCTACGCTCACCCGTATAACGTTTACACCTCACACTCGGTTTTCTAGTTCACCGAAAACTTTACAATTTATACTCTTGCAATCACACTCACTACCACCTCAAGTGTTGGTCTCTAGCCCGTGTCTCCCTCAAGTGTTAGGAATTACAACCTACCTCTAGGTATTACCACCTACCCCACTCCTCTTGGGATGACCCCGTCTCTCACCACACACTCCTCTCGGTATACAAGTGTATTACAAAGTGTTCAACACAATTAGGCTCACAATACAAATAAATTTGTTCTCTACAATGGATGAGAACACAATGTAGGCTCACTCTCTAAGTCACACTCTTCACAACCCAAATTATACTATGTATGAAATACAATAAGCTCAATGATTGTGTGTGTAAACAAAGAGATTAATCAAATATAAACTTAATATAAAACTAACTTTAATAAAATGATAATCAAACAAATAGATATAAATCTAGAAAAAGAGTTTAGGGAAACTTCTCTATGGATCAAGAGAGAGAGGGAGAATAGTTGAATGCTCAAACACAATTGATGATCTTCCTCAAGCTCTTGTGAAAATTTCTTCACAAACCAAACCCTTAAACAAACTTAAAACAAAATTAAACTATTGTTAAACTTTCTTAAAACATTATCTTGAGTAAATAAAACTGAGGATATGTGGGGGTATTTATTGGAACCCTAAAGCCAAGAGAAAACAAGGCAAAAAGAAAAAACTAGCCGTTACAGCATCAGTCGACTGGCGGCTTCCATCAGTCAACTGATGAGCTGACCGTTAGAGACGTTTTCTAGCTCATCAGTCGACTGACGGACCTTATCAGTTGACTGATGATCTCATCAGTCGACTGGCCAGTCAACCAAAACAAAACAGAAACTATTTGACATTCCAGACGATTTCTTCAGTCGACTTATCAGTCGACTGATGTCATCAATCGACTGACCAGTCGACTGATAACAGGTTATCAGCCTGTTTTGAAACAAAAATCTGATTTTTAAAGTGCCTTTAAAAATAGCAAATAAATTCTAAAAATGTAAAACTTTAGAAAATCATTGTAAACATGTAAATGAACATGTTAAACAAAGAATTTTTGGAATTGCACTTCTCAATAGTAAAAAATCATTATTTTTTAAATATGTCCAAAAATATGAAAACTAAACATACATGTTTTTGTCATTTGACATAAACACAATATTAAAACTTTTGTAAAATGATTTTATAGACTTAATGAATTGATATAAACTGATATTAAAGTTTATAAACTAATAAAATAATATTTTATCAAAAACACCTATATTTTGATAAAATCAACAAATACGTGTGTGTGATTAATATGAGCTTAAAGTATCTACACACATGTATAAACCTAAAACTAAATTACCCAAGCTTGATAGATCTTCAATATAGCTCCACTTGGTAAACTGTGCGGATGAAGCTTGAACTTAGATCTTCAACGTGAATTGCATTGCTTCACTCCACTATTCCGCTAACCTCCATTGGATATGATCATGAATGCTCGATTCCATCCATCCTCCAACATATTGTTTGTCTAGAATAAATATAAAACACAAACACTAGACAAATAATATTAGAAATTATTTGTAATCATCAAAACAAGATTAGAAGATGTAGGCTCATAACATGAGACCTAACAATATAAACTAAAAAGAGCAGAAGCTGCATTTAAATCATCCTCAAAGTTGCTTATAAAAGCATCTCTTAAAAGCAAAAGCAGTTTTAATAACATGCCAAAAAGGTTTTCATCAAACAACATTGTTAGGTGCCTCTTGGAAATAGAAGTACAAGCACCCTAAAAAAACAATACCAAACTGACCCTTAATTTCCTTCTTGAAGTGATGAAAGTCATAAGGAGCTATACTTTATTTAGAAAGAGCTAGAAAATTGTAACAAGGAGTTATACTTTAAACAAACAACCTATACTTTGTTTAGAAAGAGTTATATAGTGATTTACAAAGCTATAATTAAACAATCAATAAATAGTTGAAGAGCAATGTAAAATGAGATTGCTCCAAAGAACTTTTTCACTTCAATTACAATAACTCATTTCAAGAAACAGCTGATGGATGAATCTCTTCGCTTTAGTAAAGGATTCATCTCACAAACATTTCATCGAACATCTTACAAGCACTTCTTTATTTACAAATTTAAAGGCAAAATGGCCAGATTGCCATATTTTTTCGAGGCTTGGTGACATGTTGGTCTATTTTGTTTTGTTTTGTCAGATTGGTATATTTTTTCAACTTCGACGCTATATAGGCCTTAAATTTGACCAGAGTTACTGTTTCGACCAGGGCTAATGAGAGTTTTAGCTGGAACAATAACTAAATTTTGGTCTAAACAGTAACTAAATTTGGTCAGAATAGTAACTCCGGCCAAATTTAAGGCCTATATGACGTCGGAGTTAAAAATATATATCAATCTGACAAAACTAAAAGAAAATATACCAACATGTCACCAAGCCTCGAAAAAATATACCAATCTGGTCATTTTGCCCAAATTTAAACAAAGAAACACCATTGACTACGTTAAGCCAAAATGCTGCAGGCACCATTTGCACATATGAATCCCATGGTTGAGGTCACGATGTGGATGTAAAGGAGAGTGTTCCATTTTGACAGAATTTTTGCTTGACGTTCTATCAAATAACAGCTGGGATGTGGAGAAAACTAGGTATTCATGTAGACATGGAGGAGAGAGGGAGTGATGAGGATGTTGTAGCCAATATCGAGTTTGAGGAGAGGTTATTTACAAGGAAGGATGAAGTCCTGCAAGAGTTGAAGAGGAGGGAGGGGTCAAGGCATGAGGAGAGGAAGAGAAGGTGTTTAGGGTTTTGGACAGGGGAAGGAGGAGGAGAGTGATATGCTGAGTTAATGGAGGAGGATAGAGGAGAGAAATGATTAAGCATGTGGTTTAGAGAAGAAGAAATAATAAAAAAAGAAGGGTGGTTTCGGATTTGCAAGTTTTTTTTGGAGAAAAACAATATACAAATATTATGTATTAGACATATGGAGAAATACAATAAACAAATATTATGTATTAGACATATTGGGTTTAAAAATAAGTTAGGATTAGTGTTTTGGGTGTACGAGGCATTATGGAAGTGGGTGTGTATATAAATAAGTTAGGGGGTAAAACTTTGGGTTTAAAGACAAAAACCTCTTATTTTTTTAATAACCCAGCCGAGAATCGAACCTAAGACCGCGGGAGGTATATTGGAACCTCTCAACGTTTTAGATAATCCGTAGTGAGTGTATGGAGGGTCGTTATAGTAATCAACCTAATTAGGAAATAATTTATGTGAGACTCCGAAGATCAAGATTGATCAAGCAACTGCGAATTGTCCAATTCTAAAATTTTCTGTTAAAATGCATATCTTTATTATTTACTAACTGAACTTCAAAATTTGTGATGAAACATATGTCATGCTATCCTCCTTTTTATTTGACTTTTTTCTATTGATGTCAGTTAGCAAACATGGGGTTTATATTAGAGTTATGAGAGTGTTTATGGTCCTCAAACTCCTTCAGATGACTGGTTCCAGAGTCCGCTGTTCTTCTCCACACATAAAAAATCTGCAAGAGAGCGGAGTTGGGTTCACCGGTTGTTCCTCCGATGATCAAGTTAGTATTTTGATCTTGAGTGGGTAGTTGAAAGACAAATTGTATAGATAGTCATTCCAAGTTGCCAAAAAGTCGAAGAAGCTACCCTATGCAGCGTAGTTCCTTTTTATATTAGATTAGAGGGGTATGAAGGTAACTTCGACTGAGTCAGCAGATACCTTTCAGGTGTCGGCTGTGGAAGAAAGTGAGTCACCTGGTCATTTAATGAGGGAATGATAGCAGGTGCTTGGAGCTTTCTAGGTTCGATGAGTCATAAAGACTATGTTGGCTAGAGTAATGATGATTTTGTCAGAGCAGTTAATGCGAGAGCAGTCGACTAGCGAGGGGTTCAAGATAACTGCCGTTTCTCCATTTGTTTGGTCAAGGGCCGAGAAACACCGCCTTTTGACTCGGCTACGAAAGATGCCCGTTGACACTATAGGCCGAGTGCGAGTTGCTCTAGGGTCGATCTGGTGAGGTGGCCGACAAGTACTGCTTTTTGACTTGGCTAGGCAAGTTGTCAGCTGACACAGTAGACCGTAGGAGTAGTTTGAGTCGTCTCGGCCTTAATTCATCTAATTAGGCAAGGGGTGAGACATGTATCGACTTCTCTAGAGAGATCAGTACTTGTTGATTTTTCGGGCTATAACATTTCGATGTTAAGGAAGAAATTATATAAGTCTTTCTTTGAAGTTGAATTTGAACTTGTGGAGAATTGATATAGCCACTCTAACAATTAATTCAGACATTTTGAAATATCAAAGTGTTAAAAACAACCTTGGGTATCAAAGTTTTTGGAGGTTGGGGTTGGGGAGAGGGGGAGGGTGTAAACTTTGAAGTATCAAAGTATCATTTTGCAATATTGAAGTTGGAAAAGATGAGCACTTGAGGGCATAAAAAATAGAAAAAATTATGGGGGTGTAAAGGTTACAGAATATGTAAATTTGAGGGCAGAAAAGTGTTATTCAAGAAAAAATAAATTCGGTCCAAATATGAAGGGGGGAAACAACTTTTAAATTGAATTCATTTTCGGGGAGATAACTTCAAATTATGTTTTATAAATTGAAATTTATTTCGTACAATTGATGTGAGCCAGTCTTTTTACGGACCCGACCCGACCCGACCCGTACAAGTTAAACCTCTCCCGTAAACCCTCGCTCTCTTTGCGTGTCGTAGATCCGATAATGTTCGGGACCCGAGGATTGTTGCGCTGCTATAAATTAGCCCTGCAACAGACCCAAGGCTCTCTGTCCTCCTCAGCAGCAATGGCGTCCTCCTACTCACTGAGTCCATCTAGGGTTTCAGCGTACTCCACTGGCTCCCCAAACCCTAGCGGCGCCCCCAAGAGAGTTGGGACCCACAACGGAAGCTTCCACTGCGATGAGGCCCTCGGGTGCTTCATGATCCGCCTCACTAACAAGTTCTCGGGCGCCGAGATCGTTCGATCCCGAGATCCTAAGGTATTCATCGACGGATCGATGTTTTTTCAAGAATCTGTAGATTTCGCTCTTTTAAATGGGATTTGGGGTTTTATTATCAAGATAATTTCTAATTTTGGCAAGCTTTAGTTTTTTTTTTCTTTGAAGTAAATGTCAAATTTGGGTTATTTGTAAGTACTGAGTGGCTATGTCTAGTGACTAGTGTAATAATGAAGGAATGGCTTTATAAAGCTTATAAGAGCATGGGCAGCAAGCTCCCAAGCTCCGCTCTCAGCTCCGACGTGGCCTCAGTCTCCGATTTCACCCCCTCCAACAGCCTCCGAAGCGCTCCCAAGGACCTCCCAAGAGCTGACGTGGCTGCCTCCAGCTTCGGAGCTCCCAAGCGCTCCACAAATTTGTGGAGCGCTTGGGAGCTCCCAACTGCTCTGAAAATGATGGTGGAGATGATGGCGGAGATGATGGGTGATGGCGGAGATGATGGCGGAGATGATGGCGGATGGCGGAGATGATGGCGGAGATGATGTCGACGAATTTGATGGATGATGGCGGAGATGATTCTTGATGGCGGCGATTTCAGCGGAGATGATGTCGAAGGGAATGAGTTGTTTGAGATGAAGATGAATTTGGGGTTGGGTCTGTTGTCGAAGGGAGAGGAGAAGATGAATTTTTTTTTTAATTGAGTGCGTTGGTTGAGGTGAATGAGTTGTGAAATTTTCGTTGAAATTTTCGTTGAAATTGTGCGAAGATGATAATCGAACGTAATGGGTGAAATATTAAAATAGAAGAGGGTTTTTTTTGATATTGTTGGAGCTCCTAACTAGGAGCTTGTTGGAGCTCCATAAAAGAAGGAGTGCCTCTCAAGGTATAATTTGTTAATTTTTTATTTTGAAAAGCTTGAGAGCTCTTGAGAGCATGCTGACTAGGACTCCCAACTGGGAGCTTGCTACACTTGCTCTAAGCCATATTGTGAAACTGTAGGGGTACATACTTTAATCAGAGATTGAGAAAATATGCAATTGGATCTAAAGATCGATTTTTTTAATGCTAGGGATTCCACAATTGTAGCTATCTACCTTCTAAGTTGATAAATAGTTCGAGGGAAGAGAACTTCTAGCTACGGGTTTTGTAGTATATTAGAAATTTACACTAAGAGAAATTGTCTGTGGGGTCTTTACGAATTAGAAAGTTATACTATTTTTTTAATAAGGATATTGCTCATATCAAATTTACGAGGTGGTTGAAGTGAAGAAAATGTTAGTGCATAAAATTAATGCAACATGGTCAAAATGGAGGACGCTGTTAACTAGTCAAAGCAGAAAGGTTAAAAATATAGGTCTCTAATTTGACCTTATATATAGGTGAGATTGAAGGTAAGGTTTACGAGAGGCTATAGGGCCACCTATGCTTATGGCCAAGATACTGGGTAATCCAGAAAAATATGCTCAAAAGACAACTGCAACTGAAAGAGAATGATGAAATGGATGAGGTCGATATACAGAGACATGCAAGAGATGACTGTGTTTGAGGTAATTTCATGCTGTCCAAAAAGAGAATAAATTAGATTAAATCTGAAATTAAAAGAGTTAGAACACCAGGCCTGAACGGGTGCAATCGTGATTCACTGCCCTAGAAGATAGAGGACCCGTCTATCGCCCTGGCGCAGTCGATCCTCTTCCTCCTAGCGGTAAATGCCCCCGGAAACGGCCGGCCTTCGTACTCGAGCGAGAGTACAGAGCTTCTGCTCAGACGAAGAAGGTTGCCCAAAATAAATAACAATATCGAGAATATAGTAGCACAAAACCCCGTTATAATTATCTCTCTATTTCTTTTTCTTTTCTTTCTCTCACTGTTTTCTTTGTTTTCTTTCTTTACGTGAGATGAGAGGAGAGAGAGTAGGTAGAGAAAGTGAATGTGTAATTATGAGATGATTGAGAGAGTTTATATAGGGAGAGTAACAACGGATAGTGGAGAGGGTTAAGGAAAAAATTGTGGTTAGTTGGAGATAAATGTGCTTAGAAAAAGTCAATTTGACCTTTTCATAGAAAATATCCAACAGTCCCCCCCAAAAGGTAATATTGACTGAAAACTCAGAAATCAATTAATAAATCAAGAAATCATAAAACAAATATAGGTTGGGCAACCTTTCGTATCGTGAATTTGGGAGAGGTAGCTTTCGGGTTTGAACATTTCCTTAGTGAGTTCATCGCCACCTGAGGGACATAATGGACTAAGCCTTGAATTAGGCCCCTTTAATCAGGTATTGATGAAAACACACACAATACGTTTCATCTATTGAGCAAAGCGGGTTGAGCGTTAAAAGTCATGCTCACAATAAACCGACTCATGAGAGTTTCTAGGGGTTAGCCCAGCCCTCCCCCCCTCCAACCGCGGCCATCACGGTTCCTCTCAAGTAGGTAAGTCCTTCAAGGGTACTACAGCTGGATATCATACCCTCCGCAATACACGCGTTGGACTTTAAAACTCAGCCTAACCAGCTGTATCATCAGTGCATCGTCACCATAGAGAAGGGGTAGTAGCACATGCTACATAATGATATATAAATATATCCAGGTCGATGCTCCACACGAGTGTCACTAGTCCAGCTTGTTACTACCACATTGAACCAACATTGGGACTATGTCTCCAAATAGAGGTTGGGTTACCGCTGTCAGTGACCTCATCTATGGGCTTAACCCCATCTCCCTCGATGAATCCAGAACCACACTCCTGGATAATCCCTTAGTCAAAGGGTCAGCAAGATTTTTCTCAGACTTTACAAAGTCTAAGATCACAACTTTGCCTAGCAGGCGTTGTACAGATTTATATCTTATTTGAATATGTCTGTTCAATTTTTTATTCACATGCACTTGTTTTAGAAGCTCTATGGTCGATCTAGAATCAGAATGAATGGAAATTGGAGGAGGTGAAACACAGAATTCCGGCATCATCATAGCCATATTCTGCTTCTAGAGTATTCCATAGGTCGTTAGCACTTTTGAACTCATAATATATATCATAGATATCATAGAGGTTGTCCGAAAGTGCACTAAGAATCCTATGACAACAATGATAGTTGATTTCGTCTGGTTCGAAAGTGCACTAAGAATCCTATGACAACAATGATAGTTGATTTCGTCTGGTTTCATAGAGCTAGAAAATGAGCTAGCACCAGAACCAGAAGTGGAAGGAGATGGTTCAGGTTGTGGACCATAAACAGGAGGATTGGTGGGTTGAGATCCACTGGATGAAGAATCGGGAGTATCAATGGCTAAAGGAAGACCTAGGGTTGTGAGCCAGTATCTCATCTGATTAGCCCACCGTTTGTAGTTAACACCGGTGAACTTCTCAGGTTTGACACTCTTAGAATGATCAGGGTTAGCCATAAGTCTAATTTGAGTTTACTAGTCTAGGTATTTGGAATCTGAACAGGAGAAAGATTTTGTCAAAATTACTAGATACTACCAAGGAGTATGACTTTGATTAATAATAATAGTAATTAACAAATAAATAGAACAATATTCTATGTTTCTTTTCCTGTGAACAATAACCTTTTTTTTTAACAGTAACTAATTAATGGACAAATGAATATTTGTAGTAACTATTTGAATGGGAAAAGAACAGTAACAAATTTGTTTACATGGAACAGTAACGTTTTTATATTGAAACAAATTAAAGCAATTAATTAATGTATAAACAAATGAAGCAATTACTTAACAAATAATCAGCAGGGAATCAATTTTTTTAATTATAAAAGGAACAGAAGCAAGACAGAGACAGGTTTGGGTGAACAGTAAACCGAACCCGATGAACAGTAATTTTTTATATATATATTTTTTCACATTAACACAGAATCAACAGAGAAAATGTACTAAATAAAAGCAATTAATTTCAGATTTAAATTAACAGCAATAAAATAATTCTATCTTCTAGATTGCTGTCCAAAAAGAGAATAAATTAGATTAAATCTGAAATTAAAAGAGTTAGAACACCAGGCCTGAACGGGTGCAGTCGTGATTCACTGCCCTAGAAGATAGAAGACCCGCCTATCGCCCTGGCGCAGTCGATCCTCTTCCCCCTAGCGGTAAATGCCCCCGGAAACGGCCGACCTCCGTACTCGAGCGAGAGTACAGAGCTTCTGCTCAGACGAAGAAGGTTGCCCAAAATAAATAACAATATCGAGAATATAGTAGCACAAAACCCTGTTATAATTATCTCTCTATTTCTTTTTCTTTTCTTTCTCTCACTGTTTTCTTTGTTTTCTTTCTTTACGTGAGATGAGAGGAGAGAGAGTAGGTAGAGAAAGTGAATGTGTAATTATGAGATGATTGAGAGAGTTTATATAGGGAGAGTAACAACGGATAGTGGAGAGGGTTAAGGACAAAATTGTGGTTAGTTGGAGATAAATGTGCTTAGAAAAAGTCAATTTGACCTTTTCATAGAAAATATCCAACATTTCAGTTATAGTATGACGAGGGAGAATCACTTGACATTGGTCCTGACATGTTCGGGAAAGCGAGTGCACTAATTAGGAGCAGTACACTGCTCTACATAAGGGGGTGACAATTTCTCTGGGTAGATAAAGGGACATAGAATATGCAGTAACAAAGAGGATCTGCAGCTAAGAGAGCCCCTACTGAAAATGAATGGAAGACAGACTTCATGTAGCCAACTCCAAATGCTTGGGACAATGGCTTTATTGTTATCCTTGTTGCTGGATCTTAGTCTCACATATCAGTATCTTCAAATTATTGGGAAAATGACTTTCTTGTCGTCCTTGTTGTTGTTGTGTGAACCATCATACCGGTCCTGTTAAATGATTCCATGTATGTTTGAGAATCGATTCTTTCCGATACACGAATTGGTTCCCCAAAATTGACATTCCACTTTTAAGTATGTGGAGTAGACAATTCTTTAGGTGCACATGTGCAAGACGAAATGCAATATCTGCAATCGAGTGAAGGGAGGCGCAAGATAGAATATATTATTCAATGACTTTACTGTAACTAAATACCTATGTTAATAAAACGTGAAATGGAACCAGTGGCGAATCTAAGAATTTTTTGTAGCGGAGGCCAAATTGCAATAATAAATCACAACAAAAAATGACAATGTATAATAAATTTCTGTATATGCAAATAGGTATGTATATGCAATTAGGTGAAAGAAGAACTGGTTCTTAGATAATAGTGATGAATGTCATCTTGTTGGTTTATATCATAGTCCCATATTAGTGAGCACAATCCAAGATCATGCTCCAATGAAGAAAGGTCAATTTTTCCAGGTTCGGATCTTTGAACTTTTAGACGGTAATCAACAACTGAATTTATAAAGTAATCATCAACTATTTTTTTTGCATTTGGAGTAACATTTTGTTCCCTATGTGTGGGTTGCTTAAGAGATATCCTTTTGAAAAATGTATCAATTGTATTTGGTTGTCCCGTAACTACAAATACATATTTTAATCTTTTCGATACCTGAAAAATTTACAATATCCTATAAATTATATTATTGAAATTCATTTCAAATAATAAAAGAAATTAAAGAAGCATGATTTATTTGAGAATAGGAAAATGTCTATAATATGCATATACACCAAAAAATGAACTAGAGTTGTATATACAATAATACAAATGATCAATGTAGAGACGAGCACCAATGTGATTTCTAAATGTATTTCTTGAACGCGATATTCAGAGTCTTAGAGAGGTGCAATTTGGGAATAGTGTTGGGATTGGTGTTAAGCCAATCAGGTTAAGGGATCGGGTTATTTCAAGTTTGGGTATATGGACATAGATGAACACATTATCCAATTGGGATTTTAACTTAACTCGCCCGTATAACTTATATAATACTTTGCATAAATGTAAAAAAAAAATTCAAACTCCAGGAGGGGCTATGGCACCCCTCTGCCCCCTATCTTCGCTGCTAAATGGAACTATGTTCCCAACACAAACTCGTGAAAAGGAAAACTGAACAAAAAATGGACTCCATAAAAAAGAAGTATTTAAGTATTTTGCATGAAAAAATATTAAAATGTATAATTAGCTTTCTAGTTTCTAGATTCTAGTTTTTTACTATACACTTTGGAAAACTGTAAGCGCACCAAAAAAATTTATAACGTACAACTGATTGAACTTGCATATCAAAGCAAGCTACTCCAACCAGAATCCAATTTTTCTTAGTGGCGAATCGCGTACCCGAATTCGTACCATGACCCTCTACGTACCATGTATTGTGTAACTATGGCAAATATCATTGTTTTGTAGTTTTAGGTTAAAGATTGAGTTTGTTTCATGTCTGTAATCAAACTTTCATGTCCGTAGTCAAACTTGCTATGTGGTTTTGGTTTAATTTAGGTACTAACAAATTTTAGGTGGACATTGTCATATAATTTGCTTGGACATTGTCATATAATTTGCTTTCCAGTAACTCAGTTTTAGATTTTTCTTACGGTAAAGTTCACAAAACCCCCATAAAGTTTGGCCCATTTTGAGATAAATCCAATTTTTTTTGAAAATTTCACCAACCCCGAAAACTTTTGGGCCATTTAAAACCCCCCATAACGTTAATTTTTTCCCCAACATGCTAGCGGTGCCATGGGGGTTTTCTGAAATGTTATGAAATACCCCTGAGGATTTTCTGAAATTAATGTTAAAAGCTGGAGGTTTTCTGAGCATAATGTTGAAAGATTGAGTGTTCTCTGAAAATAATGTTGAAAGTTAGGGGGTATGTTGAAAAAGATGGGGGGCTACGCCATTTAGGGAAGTTGAAAAAACTTCAAATGTTATGGGGGTTCTATGGACAGCCCCAGAATTTGGGAGTTAAGTGACAATTTAAAATTTTTTGGGGGTTTATCTCAAAATGGGCAGGGGTTAACTTCACCATTTTTCTTTCAGTTATTGTGCTACTTGATTGATTTATTTCTTGCTTTCCTAGTAAAAGTTCTCTACATGGAGGTTATTGTTAATTTTTTCATGTGTTATTTTCACATGGCTGAATAAGCAAGGAAACGATATTTCCATTTATTTCTAATATTTTGTTTGCTTCTTGTGTTTCTGTGCAGTTCTTGACTAGTATCATGTTAAAATTATGCAATCTTGATTTAGTTATCATGATCACTTATTGAGAAAGCAAATTTCAGATATTAGATACTTTGGATGCTGTTCTCGATGTCGGTGGTGTGTATGATCCTGACAGTGATCGCTATGATCATCACCAAAAAGGTTTTACTGAAGTTTTTGGGCATGGATTCAACACCAAGCTAAGCAGCGCTGGACTTGTCTATAAGGTAGTATGGTTGTTCTCTTTATTAAGTCATATGGTTGATGGTTCTTGCTTGTTATGCTGGCTGTATTTGCTGTTAGTTCTGATTGAATCGTTATGATTGGCTGAAAATACTTCTTGGAACTGATAATATCTGGAGGTTATAATTAAGTAAAATTTGACAATGCTTGGTCTGAGTATGATGCTAGGCTTTCAATTTTCTGTGGCAAGAAAGTATCTTGACTATGGTTACAACCATTTTTAATGAGTTTTAACTCGGTAAGAGACTAAGAGTACCTCGATGCCGGTGGCGATACAAGCTATATTATGATGTGGCGTAAAGTTATGATCCGCACGTTAAGGAACCATATCGACTTCAGCCTTTTTCAGCTTCCTTTGGTAAATCATTTCTAAGAAAATTAAGTTTCTTGAAACTGTTATAGACACCTGAATTCTAATTTCTTATGACTGAAATTTAGCAATTTGCACATTTTTTGGTTGTAGACTTCTGAATTCACATTTCTTTGTGATTGAAATTTTAGCTGTGTACATTAGGCACATTTTTTGTAAAGCTTCCACATTCCATTTAAAAAAGTAACTTTCATTCAAATACTAGATTTATCTCCCATTCTTTATGTTTGAGAAGTGACATGATTTTTTAAAAATATTTTTCTTTAACTCTCTCTTTAGACTTCGTGAGTACTTTCTCCTTCAAATTCCTTTACTAACCTATCAGATCCAATTTGGCATTATTCACAGATATAAAATATCTTTTTGATACACAAAGTAGAAGTGTTTTCTGATGTATAACTGTTCATAACCTGGATGGAGTAGGGTAAGTTGTTGATCCTATTTAAAATAGCAGTGCCATTGGTTACATAGACCGCCATCCAAGAAATCACTTGTAGTATGCATTCTGACACAGTTTACTCGATAAACTTTCTTGTTATCTGCTGTTTCACTTCATGCTACCATTTTCTTGAAGACCAATATACTTTATTTCTTTTCCATGTTCATCATTAGCCCAAGAAATCCTTGTTCATGCACAATTCAAATTTTTTTCCCATGTCTCCCAACCTTGCATATTAAACTGTATTTAATTCACTTGTTACTATCTAACACTTCACGAATGCCTAGGCATCGATATTACAATAGATGAATAGAGCAAAATAGAGACCGAAAAGTTTCACTTGCTAGAGGCAAAATTGATTGCAATTGTTTCCATTTGTGGTAACTTGTTCTATTAAAAAGTATTAAGTGGAGCATGGGGCACTAGATCTCACCATCTTTTGCCCAAAGTTGCCACTGAAAAATGACGAGCTAGATAACACGAATGTGAATAAAGGACACATACTGTACGCCTTATAATAATTGCTACCATGGGGAAAAAAACATGTTATGAATACGAAATTATAACCTTCAACCTTGCAACAACTTCGGAGTTTTGGTGTAGTGGAGTAGAAGAGTCCTTTGAGATGGGTATGAGAGCAACCTGTGTTCAAATCCCATGGGTCATGAATTTAAAACGATTTTAAGAAAAATATGCCATTGGTTAGTCAAGGTTTCGGTCCATTAAATTGGTTTTCATGCTGTTGGGCTATGTGAGAGTGTGAAATTATAACCTTCAACCCTCAAGGCAACTTTGGAGTTTTGCGTGGTGGAGGGGTCCTTAGACACAACAGGATACTTATCAATAGAATTATGCTTATCCTAGTAACATTCATGGCCTTAAACTTAGCATTCAAATATTATCTAGAATCACATATTTCTAATTTTGCAAGATTTATAAATTATAAGCACACACTTCTCGCAAGAGTTGGTAACCTGGTATGTGTCTTACACTGCTCTATATGTGTAGGAGCTTCCCTAAAGCTAGGTAACACGAAAACTTCGTTTTGGGTGCCATATCCGTCTCCGACACCGACTCTCTGTAACACTTCATGGACACTTGTGGTTCAAAGAAAAACCCGATTTCCCGATTACTTATATCCTAAACTAGTTTCTCTGGTAATATCAGACAGTTTATTATCAGTTTCAAAACTAATTGTTTTTTAACCCGAAAACTGAAACCCGTTACTTAAATATTTGATAAACTCCTATTGTATTATCCCATGCTGTCAAAACTAAACTTTTTGTTGTTAAATCTTATTCTTGGTTTGATTTAACTTGATTCTTAATTGTTATAGATAATAGAAAGAAACATACAAATGTAATTGGTATTTTCGTTCAATACTTGATCATGTGTGTATATTATATGCCGTGTCCCCGTATCCTACATTTTATTAATTTGCCGTGTCCTGCGTCTGTATCCATGTCTGTATATGTGTCTGTGTCCATGCTACCTAGCCCTAGAGAGAAGGTAGGAAGAGGAAATAAAAGAAAGAAGAGGATAGGGTGGAGGAAAAAATGGAAAAACAAGATAAAACGAAAAAGTTTGTTGCTGCATGCAAGCAAAGTATAGAACAAGTGCGGGGATAGGCAAACAAAGGAATCAGAGGATTGTGGCAACGTTGGTATTCACATCCACACAAGCCCAAGTTGGTCTATTATCTTCCTCAAGGAGGCACCTTCGTTCTACGCGGCGGGGCCTGAGGCCACTGCTTCTGGACTGTGTTTTACAATATTAAAATTTTAAATTATTGGTTGGCCAGGCCTCAGGAATATACAAAAAATAGACAGTGAAGTAGCAGGAAGGATCAAAATTAGGAGAAAAAGCTTTTAGGAAACCCTATGTTAAACCCCCTATTTGCTCTTTCATAATTTCTGAAATTGTCTAATTTCCCAACCAGAAGATTCAAAAGAAAATTGGTGTCCCAAGTTAGGTTTTACTGCATAAGTGTTGGGTCAAGTGACATCAGGTTTCAAATAGAGGGCCTCAATATGGCTCCCCCTGAATATTAAGATGCTATCTAGATCCTATATCACCGAGCATTTAGATAGTCAATATATTAACCAAAATACCCTCAAACTTGCAGGTTTCTTTTATTTTCTCTCTCAGTCAAGCACTTGAGAGATGAACACTGCTGATCTTTAAATTAAATGAGAAAGCAACATGCAGATATCAAACTATTCCTTAAATGGAACATGGATTTCCTTGTACATGTAACCTGTTCATACATCTTAGGGAAGCATATCTGTTTTTAGATGACATTGCGAGACGACAGACATTCTGCGCAGCACACCTAGTTATGATCTTTCCAATTATATTTCTAAATAATATTTCACTACTTTGGATCATACATCATTCACAGGATTCTTTCATAACATGCTTTTGTACTATTTACTATTAAGGAAACCTTTAGAAAGGATATAACTTGTTGGTAACTGATCATGTCCTTAGATGTTTGCAACAAAGGCACGATACCTTACCATCTAGTGTTAACGAATGCTATTCAATCATTTTGACAGAAGAGAATGTACTACCTAAAAGTTGATAGGGATCTGTTTTGTGCTTATTTTCATGGTTATCAGGCTACTGGCAGAGAAACATGTATAGTCCTTGCATGTATATTTACACAAATAGACTTCACATGTACTCAAGTAATTTGGAGTCCTAACATGAGGCTATATTATTTTGCAAGGTTGCTGATAGCGGATAGCGTTGCGTCGCAGCGAGGTACCGCTAAGACTATTTGCTCAAATAGCGCATAGTCAAATAGCGGTCAAATATAAATATATTCAAATAAAAATAATAGAGAATAATATGGAGATGGTGCACTGCTGGAGAGCATTGGAGAGCTATGGAGGTGGTCGAGGTGGTGGATGGAGTTGCGGAGGTGGTCGAGGTGGTGCTGCGGAGAGCTGCAGAGGTGGTCGAACACTAGAGAATCGGAGGTGGAGCTCACCGGAGGTGGTGGATGTGGAGTGGAGATAACCGGAGATAGCTTGGGAGCTTCGGAGATGGAGATGGAGACTGGAGATAGCTTGGGAGCTTTGGAAATGGAGCTTGTTGGAGAAGGAGCCCGCCGGAGGAAGAGCTCGCCGGAGGAGATAGCTTGGGACTTAGGAGTTACGGCTAGGGTTTTTTTAGAGGAGAAGGGAGACGGCAAGAGAAAGAGAGGAGATTTGAGATAGGAAAAGGGTTTAGTTTTAATTGAATTCGGGTTGGGTTCGGGTCGGGTTCGGCTGAAAACCGCCTTTTGAATAGCCTTTTTAAGCGCTAACAGCTAACGGCGCTATCACGCGCTTTTCGCCGCGATTACGAGAAGAAAGCGGTTCGCACGCAATTGACCACCGCTAAGCAGGAAAGCCTAGCGGTTTGAGGGCGCGACCACTATAATTCCCGCTATTGCACCGGTACCGGCACTGTTTACAACACTGTTATTTTGATAAGTTGTTGAGCTGGTCTAACAGTTGTTTTGTTACTGGAAGTAAACTTGTAGAAACAATTTATGTTGTAAATATCAAATTTGTCTGAAAAGTTTCAGTTGTAGGATGTATCTTGATACTGACAGAGATATCTTTATTGTGCCGTTGTATTTCCTGACCAATTCCTTCTTAATCTGTTATACTTTTCTCTTTCAAAACATTAATACTGGGACATACATGTAGATGATGATGAACAACTTGCCAAGTCTTATAATCTTTTTTATATTCTTCTAGCATCTTATTTACTATCTTGTTTCCTACTTAGCATTACGGTATGGAGATAATTGCTAAGGAGCTTCAACTTGATGAAGGGCACCCGTATGTTCTGCGCCTGTATCTTGCTGTTTACAGAAGCTTTGTTGAGGTATTATTTTAAATCTTGTTAAAGGTCACATTAACTAACTTCCAAATTCTTTTAACGCTTACATTACACATCTTTAATAGCAAGTTGCTTGTTCCCTTTCCTTCTACATTTTCTGCCTCTTCTGGAGACTGCAACTCCTTGATTGCATGTGCTTAAACGGCAAATCAATGATTTTGTTACTCATTAGCTGGCATTTTAGCTTTATGGAAGTTTTTTTTCTCTGTTGGCCAAAAATCCAGATTATGCACATCATGTTGACAGCTGATTGTAAATTGAAACCTGAGCATGTGTTTGGCATCTCTCTCTTAAGCTTGTTAATTCCTTAACCAGGATAGAAATGGTCCAGGCAAGTGGGTTAGGTTCCACTAACCAGGTTATTGTGATTTACGAAGCACAGCCTCAGAAATTTTAGTTGCATCCAAATTCAGTTTATCACTATAATGAAAAAATGCCATGATCCAGAAGTTCTGTTTTGATTGCTTTCGCTCATTAATCATCTAATCTTGGTTAGTGTATGAATATTTACCACCATTGAGGATATCTTCTATTTTCTTTGAGGTCCCTCTGAATCCTACATTTTCTTTCTTAATGGTAGCAAAATGCAATGTTGCAGACTGTTCGTTGACACTTTTGCTTTTCTATAAACCATCTTGTTCTATTGCTGCAACAGTGAATGAGTGCTGCTTTTCATCATTTCTTCTTCTAGTATAAGTGTACAGCATGAAGTAACCTTATTAATCATTCATTTTTCATGCATCATATATGCATTGATGCTTCAATGTTCAAGCACTAACAATTGCAATCTCTCTCTGGCTGGAGAAGAGCCATGCATTTAGCTTCAATAAATAAAAATTTCATGCTTAATCTTTTTCATGTTATCATCCTCTACTGTTATTGCCTGATATATTATATATTCTAGTTATTAAGTACCTAAGGTCTTCAATTATAATATTTCTCCTGTACAATGCTATTTGGCTGGTCTGGAGATGTGTGATGCTTGATCAGGCACAACAACTTATAACGTTGTGAAGCTATCCATTGAAAATTCTTCTCAAAAATTCTTTGAATCATGTCAGTTCAATCCAGTTGGGTAATCCTGTATATACATGTCACAGTCCCTGGCTATTTAGCGTAACAATAGTTAGAGAGTATGTGGGGTCAACAAATTTGTCCGAATGCACATGGATTGGTAGAGAAGAATTCAAAGTTGTTAGGAATCAATTGGGCTGTAAAAGTACTGCGTTTGTTGTAATTTTGGTCATATTGGCTACTGACATTTTATTGCATGCATATCTTGTTTTCTTCAAAATATGTATAAGGAGATTGATTAATCTGGATGGAAGCATGCTGCTCTTACTTGGTGAAAAAAATAGTAAATAGGTCAGATCTTCATTTTTTTTTGTCATAAATCTACTACCTATTGCTATAATGAAATGAACATATTAATCTTTTCTGAAGTTAAAAGTTGATTGTTCTTTTGGGTTGATGCGTCTCAAAACTCTGTCAACCAAAAAGCTAGAACACCAATAATCGCACTAAGTATAAAAAATTTGTGGTATCCACATAGGCCAGTATAGGACCAATACAAGATTTATCCAAGTGAAATACCCGATGGAGAATTCCGAAGAGTCATGAGCAACCTGGTTTCTGCTTAGAAAAAGTTTACCCCCTTCCTGCTTCAATTGTTCCCATCACTCACTACATCTTGTTTCGCTTTTAGGCGTGGTCTACATTACCCGAACACTTCATTTTGGGTGACGTACCCTTGTTGGACATGTATCAAGCACAGATTCACCATGGACATGCCATGGACACGTGTGGTTCAAAGAAAAACCCGATTTTCCCCATTATTTATAATCTTCAACTAGTTTCTTTGGTATATCGAGTTTAAAAGCAACACTAGAATCTGAAAACCGAAACCATTACTTAAAGATTTAAAAAATACCCATCGTATCCCATACTACCAAATCTAAACTTAATTTGTTAAACCTTAATTTTTTGTTTGATTTAACTTGATACTTAGATAACAAAAGAAACATACAAATGTGAGTATATTAGTTCAATATATGATATGATGTAAATATTATATATATATACATATGTATGTGTCTACGTGTCCCTGTATCCTGCCTTTTACGAGTTTGTCATATCCCGTGTCCTTATGTGTCTGTGTTCGCACCCGTGCCCGTATCCGTGCAACCTAGGGTATGGATGAAACCTTTGTCCACTCAAACCTTTTGTTCGCAATATGGGGCTACTAAGTATGAAATTTTTGTTTCACTCGACTCCTTGAATGCATCCAAGACTACTCTCCTTGCTTATCACATCCACTTTGGTCACCATCCTTCTATGACTACGCAGAACTAGGCATAGAATCAAATCGATTTGGTTCAACATTCTTCTTCTGTAGTAGCAGCTTCTATCCTTCATTAGTTCTATCACTACTGGCGAAGAGCAAGGGAATTATATCTGACCCTTCCCTAATAAATCTAATGCAAAGCCTTCCCTTCTTTCTGTTTCAAAGTGTATATATTGGGTTACTGGTAATTGAACTATTTGTAGATTCTCACTGTTCCTGGAGAGTGCCAATTGGAAATGAAGGATAATGAAACAAACATACACCTAGTGCAGTTTGAATGATGGACTTTTTCTTTTTCATCAATTCTTAAGAAAATAACTCAAATTCTTCATCATTTTTTCCCTCCTCACTCCTCCAAGCAGGCTTGTACTCCTATGGTTATGAACGTACCTCCAGTACATTTAATCTTGGACTTTAATTGAGTATCCCCTATTTTTAGCCTGCTATTTCTGATCAGTATGATATATATTTCTTGTAGACTATGTTGCATGGATAGGGGTACAGATACTGCTACGGGTTTGGTACAGTACACGGCAAATTTGTAAGAGGTAGGGTGCAGGGACACAGCTATATAAATATTTATATGCATATATTATATATTGGAATTAATAATTTACACAAGAGCAAGAATGAGAATTTAAAATTCCTATATCATTTTTATGTTTCTCTAATCATGTGGATTATAAATTTGAAAATCACTAGTTTTTAAACTAGACATACAAATGACCCTTCAAAATCATAATTTGGAACTTGACCTATGTCCAATGAGTTTCAAGAAGTGGATGTGAAGTGTATGATGTATGTCTCAAAAATGGATGACAAACATGTGTTGTATAGTTGAGTAACATGCCTGAGTAAATTTATGCATATATGCAAGGAGTTTCCAAGGAGTTTGGTATGGGTTCAGGTACATATCGGGTATACGGCTTCAGGGTTCATGCAATTATTGGCAAAATAGTGATTGTAAATGAGGGTTCCAGGAGTTTAAACAGTCTTTTCTGTAAGCACTAAAATATTATAAAATTTCATGCTAATTTATTGTTCTGACTAATGAAAAGTAACTTTTCTATCTCTATCAAGTAAAGAGTTAATTGTAAGAAACTATTAAAATGTCTATTATATCAGTAAACTGAGTAAAGTATAATCGGCAAATCTTTTCAAATTCCTTGGGTTTAAATTTTATATAACTTTCGGTTTTCTAGAATACTGATGAAACTTGAAAACAGCCCACTGACGTTTTCTTTAATGTTAAATGAATCTGAATTTTCATGGGCAAATCTTCTAAGAAGCATAGTTTTCTATTGATTAATAGATGGGTTGAGACTTGAGAGTAATGTTTACTTGGTTTCCAGTGTGGGCAGTCTTGGATCCTTGGAAAAAGCCTGGAGATTTTCCTCATTCTTAACTTTCATGTGCTTCATATTTATTTATGTCTGTTAAAAAGGGCCCGATTATTAAGTTGCTAGGACATGTTGTTTGAAAATTCCCTTGTTTGGGTTAATCCTCATATCTTTCTTAACTTCGAATTGCTAATGTTAAATAAAATAATTGGATGATGCTTCTTACTTTTAACAGGCCATAGATGCCATTGACAACGGAGTTAATCAGTATGACACAGATCTGCCTCCTAAGTATGTGAATAACACAAATTTGTCTTCAAGAGTCGGGCGTCTTAACTTGGATTGGATGGATCCTGACCAATCATCTGAGAAAGAAAATGCAGCCTTTGAGAAAGCAATGGTTCTTGCCGGCAGTGAATTTTTGGAGGTTGTATTTTTATTTATTGTTGCAGTGCCACACTAAAGATATTAAATTCATCTTCCCTGCAATTTTGTTCTAATTTACCCATTCGGTGAAAAAGTTTCAGCTGCAGAGTCTTCACACAACAGAACTATTCTAGGATAATTTGTCTGAATAATTACAAATGACATTTTTTTATTGTTCAAATCAGAATGTTCGCTATTATGTCAAGTCATGGTTACCTGCGCGATCCATTGTTATGGAAAGTCTTGAAGCAAGAGGAGACGTTGATCCTAGTGGAGAAATCATGGTTTTGAACAAGTTTTGCCCTGTAAGTTTAACTTAGTCTCAAAGTTCCCGTGTTCTTTAGTTTTATCAATAGCTTGAAAAGGTTCCTGTATTCTTAGTTTTACCAATAGCTAGCTTCCTCTCCTTTTGAACTGCTTCTTTATGCATCCATAAATCTAACTTTTATTTGTCATTTACGAATTTCTGGTTCAGAATTTAGATATTTGATTTTCACCATCTGAGAGTTGGTTCTCATTGTCTGACACATAAATTTATGGATTGTCGTTGTTTAAGATCCTTATTTTTACGAATAGCTGTTTCCCCTCCTTTGGCTGCATCTTTACACATCCATATATCTGATTCCATTTGTCACCGAGTTATTTCTGGTTCAGAATTTATAAATTTTATTTTCACTCTTCAAAATTGTTGCTCATATTGGCTAAAATGTAAAAATTAAATTAATGCTCCGTTGATGTATTGTCGTGGTTTAAGATCTGTTTGCGCAGTCATTTAGCTGTAATAAGCTAGAATATTACCGTTCCTAAAAAAAAGAAAAAAAGGAAAAAAAATATGGAATATTACCGAGTGATAATTTCTCTTTAAAGTTTAATTTGCAGCTCTTTAAATATAGCCAGGGTGTTGTATTCCATCATTGTTCACTAGCTTTTTAAGCATAATCAGGGCATTTTAATCCATCATTGTTCACTAGAAATATATTCTCGAAATATTCTGGACTCTCTGTTGCTGTATCCATAGCTCATGTCCAGACATCCTATAAAATGCCACGTTCTTTCATCTTATACATGATCACAGCTATTTGGAATATTTCCTTCTGACATGATATCTGTAGTCTCGATTGTGGTTTCTGAATGAACCCTTCCGATAGGATATGCGAAGTCCTGATTGTGGGGTTTGGTTCTTTTTGACAGACATGTAAAGATTTCTATTGTGGGTTTCAGAATGCTCTTGTCTGATGGGAGGTGAAGTCTCTATTGTGGGTTTCAGAATGCTTCCTTCTGATAGGATATGTGAAATTGGGTAACCATTAATCAAGGATCCCATTGACAGAAAGTTGCAACTGCACTTTAACCTCTCTTTCAGTTTATGTTGATTACAGATGTGACTTACACTCATTTATGCGTAGATCGTAGTTTCAATTAAAGGTCTATTTGCAACTTCAAATTCAACCACAATTATTAGCTGCAGTAAAGAAAACAGCTTCAGATGCTCTTTACTTGCATGCTATTAAAGACCCGAATAAGTTGATTTGGATCTGGTATAAGATCATATAACCAAGCATGTAGCGAATAAACCTTAGTCAACTTTTTCTGGTCTTCCTGTTGTGGTGGGCTATTGTAGCAGTTAATGACGCAATGAGGCTTTGTCACCATGTGACATTGGTAATGTTTCAAAAAGCCTGCGCCTAGCCCGACTGGCTAGCGCCTAGCGCATAGGCGGTACCTAGGCTGCCCACTTATGTTTCGGAAGCACCTAGGCCCTAGGGGAATGTGAACTGCTTACATGGACTGCATCCTTTAGGCCTTCATCGTAATTTTCTCCTTTGCAACTTCCACATCCTCCGACCTCTCCAAACTCCTCTAGGCTTTAACTATGAACTCATTTTCTACCTCCTGCGAGTTTTAGTAAACATCCTCCACCTCCACTTAAACGAAGAAAGAAATCCCTCTAGGCGCCAGTACGTCATCTAAGCTTTCTATAACATTAGCATTTACTATCAATTATTGTAATTTAAAAATAAAAATTAGGAAAACGGCCTAGGCAGCCTAGGCTA